AAAAGTGTAAATGGAAAGAACTCAGACACATTTTTTAACTTTGCACTACTAAGAATCAGTGTTAAAATATATAATATAAATATAAAACCAGGAGGACAAGCCTGACAAAAATGGGATGGCCCAAGGTGATTTCAAGATCTCCATAAAGGAGCTGGTTTTTGTGAAGCAAGGTTGGAAGTGGTTGGGATACAGTCCACCATTTTTCATGGCCTGACCATTATCCCTTCCACCTGAAATCAAGATTTGGCTTTGTTTTGATCAGGATGCAGGACCTGGTCCACTGCCTGCCTGCTCGTAGTCAATGATGGATTGTACAGCTCTCACTCTATCAAGGGGCTAGTATGGCACTATGATTAACTTCTATCCTCCGCCATCAGTACAGGAACTCCTGACTGTTCTCAGCTTTCCCTACACGTCACCTACTGGTATATAGGTCACCTGTGTAGTTTACTTCCCTGCAACTTGCAGGGATGGGAGAGTGCAGGGGCAGAGTACTGGTGGCAGTCAGCTCATTGCTCTTTCAGTCAGCTGTAACTGAGAGTACACAAAGTCCTCTGGTGTCATCTGAGAAAGTTTCCTTTTCCTAGGAGACCTGTGAAGTCCTAAGCAGGAGAGCAGGTCATGTTTACCCAGAAACAGAGAGGAATGTGGTTCATTTGGGGACATCTGCCATCTGTTTTGCAGGGAATCGTGATTGGATTTGTGAATCGTGAAATTCAGTTTCTTTGGTGTGTCTCTGACTAATTTATTGCAGTCACAGCCTGGAAGATACCTCTGTGACTGATGAATTCAAGTGGCATTGTACGAAGTCTGATAATGCAGAAAAGAAACATCTTCCTTCAGAGACAGCCCTGTGCTCCATTCAGAATATTGACAAGGCAATACCCAAGAAACCAGTCATTGAAGCCTATAGGCTGACTAGCTACCCAGACCTAAGCTCTGAGGATAAAGCAAGTGAGGAACGGATGTCTAAACAGACTGGCATTAGAGTCCTCTGACTTCTACTGCCATTTCCAGCTGGCTATTAGCCTGATTAGAGTATACAGGCACTACACTGTGCTAGCTGATGAGCATCTCTTCCTAATGATGGGCGAAGATGATATGTTCACATCCACCCTTAGTCTTTGCTAACAGGGACTGCGAGATCTGTGGTTGTGTGCCAGTGTTTGACTGGGCATGGACACAATGACATTTCTTTGGCCCTATTTGTTCCATTCAGGGGTGATATTATGCCACAGACGCTGTTTTTATAACCAAAAAATACATTATGAATAAATACATTGTTCATTGTCCTCAAGCACTTTCCTATACAGTATTGTGATCCCTTCTTTTTAATATATAGGTCATGGTGTATTTGGTGCTGCAGTAACATCAGTATATGAATAACAGGCAGCTCTGCCTCTCTCTATATTATCATTAGTTACTTTCTTGGTGTCTGGCTTAGATTGCTAATATGTGAAAACGAGCCTGGATGAAACTCTCTCTGAAACGCATGGGCCAGAAGTACAGCTTTTAGGTCAGAAAACAATTTAAAGGATGCGAGGGGCATGCTATCAACATTCGCCACCTTGCCCATTTTTGGAGGAGTTCATCTACCCTTTTCAGAAACAGCTTCAATGTCCTTCTGGATGCCCAGCTTGTTTTGGATTCCTAGGAAGAACTGGTGGTCAGAGATGCTTCCTATCATCTGTGCTTGGTCAGGGAATTATTACCAGTTCACTGATACCAAGATTTCCATGGCAATCCATGCCTCTGTGACTTTCAGAAAGGATTGCTGTAGTCTACCCTACATGGAGAAGCCTTCACAACACATGCAGAAGTTATGGTTAATGCAGAATACAGCTGGCTGCTTCTTTGCATGTGCCAGCCAGATGGAGCACCTCACTGCTACTCCCTAAGAACTGCCCTGGCTTCTCAGTTGCTTCCAGGTGCAACTCAAAATGTTGATACTGATTTCCAGTCTGGTACAGAATCATGTCTCTACATGTGCCCTCTCTAGCTGACATACTGCTATTACTGGTCCCTCATACTTGATAATAGGGGATTTTTGATAGCATAAAATTCACTTCCACTCTTGATTCAGCAAAAATCAAACTAGTCTTTTAGGACTTGATTTAAGGCTCATATGTTTAGTCTAGTTGTGACAGTGGGGAATGTATGAAGTTTCACTCTTTGTCTTGGATGACATTTGCCAAGAAGTTTTTACTGGATTGGTACACACACCAGATTCTGTACAAGGGGGTCATTCAATAAATATTTGAATAAACCAAACAAAATCAGTGAGCTCTGATGGTTTACAGTAGTACCAGAATCTTTCAGCTGACCTGTAGTCTGGATGTGGAAGGCCATCCACGATTACTGCGGGAAACTAACAATACTCCTAGCGTCTAGGGAAACCCTGAAAAAGGACCATATGTTAACAAATCAACAATCGTGTGTTTTGAAATACACCCCGTACTCAAGGAAAACCACAGAACACTACTGACTGAACACAATCTAGAGCAACTAACCCTTCATTTCCCTTATGCAAATCTCTGTACTACGACTGAATAGCATGGTAATCCATATGCCTAATGAAAGCCCATATGGCACATATGGAACAGCTCTTCTAAATCTCATTAGCCTTATCCTTCTCTTACTGGTATAAATCCAGAATAACTCCGATATTGGAGTTCTACCAGTGTAAAACAGGTACGAGAGATGAATCAGATCCAACATATCCATGTTTAGAAAGATAACACAGCACTGAAACACAACAACAAGCAAAAGAAGGGGAAATTCCAACTAGAAAGCAGAAGATAGTTTGACTTTTTTACCTGAAGACCTTAAGAGTTATATCCTCAAATTTGCCTGATATAATCATTTCCCCTTCTAGGAGATGAAGGAGGTGCCTGGATTTTGTTCCCCCACCATTCACAAGGCTTGTGCACCCCCACACACTGCGCTCACACATACTACAATCTTGGCTTTTGAAGCATCTTCTTCTTTAGCTGTATTTCAGATGATCAATTAAGGATTAGAAATGTTCCCACATAGAAGAGAGACAAGGATACTAGGGCCTCAATGAGATCTGATGCGTTAGCTGGGAAAAAAATCTACCCTTCGGATGCACCGATCTCCAGAAAGATTTTCCTAGTTTTTTCTATTGCCAAATTGCTTTGCATGAAACAGTGACCCCATTGAAGTGTCCAAACTGGAGTTGCCATTGCTGTTGGCAAAAGGCCTGACCTCGCCATAGCCAGCTCTTGCAGACTTAGTGTGGGGGCCCATTAGGTGCCGAGTGAATTTAGGTTTCTTGCGTAGGATTTTGTTGGATGTACCGCATTGGCAAGAGAGGGTGGGTCTGCCAGAAGAAAGCCATGGCCAAGGGCAGGTAGCTGGTTCAGAGGTACCTACAACGCTTGTTCCTTGCACAGTGGCAGCTCAGAGCTGCAGAGAGGAGTTGAATTTATGGGGGATGTTCAACAAAGCTCAGTTAACGTCTGAGAAGCAAAGACCCCAAATGGGTCTGCCGGGGATGAAACAAATGGAATTAGACCGTTAGTCCCAATGTGCGACACGGGATGACTGCAGACTGCTGGTGTTCAGAGGTCTGGTGGGTGTGGGCCAGGGTAGACAGAGTACCCTCGGGGGGGGCCGCAGGGCCAGGCAGGCTCTGCAGCAATGCTCTTAAGGTTGCCCTTCATGGCTGACATGCAGGGGGAGAGCCTGTGCCCCCTCCAGGCGGCTGCCTCTGTCCATGGCACTGCCAGGGCTCATCATGCAGTGCATGGGCAGCCCTTTCCAAGGGTCAGCAATATCTATTCGCAGCTGCCATCTAGCGGCAGCTGCCCACAGCTGCTCCCTCAAAGCACTTGCCTACTTGCGATGTCCCAACCAGAGAAGTAATTGAAACCATATTCGGGGGAGACTAGCCCAGGCAATTACAACAACAAAACAGCATATTTGAAATAGTTGCATCCGTAAAGGAAACCAACTTGAGCCCTGTGACAAGCCAGGCTTTGGGCATCCCTCTCGGGGGTCAGAGCAGGGCTGCAATGTGCCCTCAGCAAGTGCCGGCCCGTTAGGCAGATCCCCTACTTGGCTGGGGGTGGCTGTGGCATCTCAGGCTAGCTGTCTCACTCCCCAAGAGCTCCAGGATTAGCCCTCAAGCCTGGCCGCGGCTGTCGCAGTCGAGTAAGGACTTGGACTGAGCAGAAGGGAAAGTCCCACATGCCTCTGGCTCGGAGTAAACGGAAGGTGCAGCCAGCAATACCCCGACAGGGCTGACTGTGGACCTCGTGGGGAAGCCAGGCAAGAAACCCAGGAGCTAGCACCGAGATCACCACTCACTGCTGCCGTCGGGATGCCCCCCCGCCGGGGAGCGGCGCGCTCGGGTCGGGGCACGGGAGGGGGCCCCGAGCCCATCAGGCGGGGAAGGGGCGAGCAGCAGCGGTCCCGAGCGGAAAGTCGTCTGCAGCAAAGGCAGAAGAAGAAGAAAAGAACCGAGCAGAGAGAAACCCACGTGCAAACCGCTCTTACCTTGTAGCCAGAGCAATCCGTGCAGGACACAAGCAGCCAGGGCGGCGCGAGGCTTGGGGACCATTGCTCCTGCAGCTGTGAGCTGTGGTTATATCCTTCAGACACGGGCGAGAAGGGAGGTCTCTGCGCGGGGCAATTTCTTTCCAGCAGCAAGTTTCAAAGCCGGCCCTGGCTGGCGGGGGAGGGAGGCGCACTTGTTGATCGTCCCGCGGCCGCGGCTCCGGCCCGTGCCCCGCAGCGCGCTCTGCTCGCCTCTCCGCTCCGCTCCGCGCCGCGCCGCGAGGTGCGCGCTCCGGGGCAGCGCACTCCTTCTCCCCCCGCCTGTTTACTTCACAGGCTGACCTGAAGGTGGGTCTCCCCCCCCGCCCTTGCTAACAAGGCAGTAGAAAGACCCCCGTGCAAGGCAGGAGCTCCAGCACCAACCCAAGGGGTTAAAAGGCAGCCAAGCCCCAAGAGCAGTCGGTCGTGGAGGTTTGCACCAAGTCACCGAGCTGCTGCCTCAGCGGCTTGCCCTGGGCTGGGGTTTTGTTTCAGGTGTCTGCACCTGAAAAGCCTCTCGTGAGATGCGTGTCTCCAGGGAGGCGCAGGTGCTGCAGGGAGCTGGGGAAGGAGGCTAAACTTTCTCGGGTTTTGCAAGACGGGAAGGGGGGAGAAAAAGTGAGAGCGAGCAAGAGAAACTTCGCGTCCCGGTAGCTGTTGCAGCAGCTCCCACAGCCCACGGGCTCCCTGCTACATGCTGCTCTGGAGGGCTCAGTCCAGAAGAAGGCGAGCAGCTCTGCTTCCTGCAGGGACTGATCAGAGTTTAGGTATTTCTCTCTCTCTCTTCCTTCCCCCACCCCTCCCAGTTTGATTTGCTTTTGCTGGGAAGTTTGATGCGAGCCTGGGATTCTTTATAAAGAAGGAAAAGAGGAAGGAGAGACGTCAGCAGCAGAGCCAGGGGGACTCTTCCTCTCTCCCCCCCCCCCCCCCCC